GAAGAGTACCTATGATAAAAATTACAGTCATCTACAAGCTTTGCAAGTGGGAAAACCTGAAAAATCAACAGTGTATCAAATACTTAATCTCCCCACTGTAGCTTATAAACATGGGCATCAGAACCACTGTTGCGGGGTCTGGGGGTCCTCCCCAATAAAAGTTTGAACAAAATAGATGCCCTTTCCTGCATTCTGTTGTATTTTTTACCAGGTTGTTTAACATAATATTACCTACATCAAACACTTTATTTAATAATTATTTTAGAGACATACAGTATTATTCATTAAATTGGTTCCATCATCCTGTTTTTTAAACTCACTGCTACAGCTGAGATAAGTTTAATTAATGTGGCACAATTTATCATATCTAATGACTTTAGAGGTGGCTTTTACTTTTATATTGTTTATTGATTTACTTTTATTTGTAACACATGTCATTGCTCCAAATAATGATGACCTTCAACTGCATGTTTAAAACTAATATTAATAACTTTACCCAATGAACAGGTGCAATATTGATAATAACCAACAGTGAATTTAAAGGGGCATTTAACTTTTTCTGATTTAGTGATAGGTCTACTCCTAACCAAAAGGGACAGAGTATCATGCAGCCTTCAGAACATAAAATGACACTGTTATGATGACCAAAAAAAAATTGTCACCATAAGTCAGATTTTATAGGCATATGTTCTGTATATAAAGAAAACAATCACTTCTTTGTCACTTCTTTGAGCTTGTTGATGTTTCAAACTGTTAAACACTGCCACCAACTGTTCAGGAGGATTATTACACCACTAAGGGTTGTTTCTAAGGGCTGTTTTCTATTAGTATCTCATAATTATGAGATAGTATCTCATAATTATGAGATAGCTAAGTCATAATTATGAGATAGTATCTCATAATTATGAGATAGCTAAGTCATAATTATGAGATAGTATCTCATAATTATGAGATAGCTAAGTCATAATTATGAGATAGTTAAGTCATGATTATGATGAGATACAAGTTTTATTTTTTTTTATCAGGGTGGCGGAAATGGGCTTCCATACAAAACACCCACAAAATTGTGAAATAAACTATAAGCTTTAATAATTTCTAAACCACAAGAACAAATTAAATGCTAATTAATGCAAAAAAGTGTTGAAGCAAAGAAATTTGTTAACTTAAAACACAAACAAATATAACATGAAAAAGAGATGACATCCATCTTATACTCATTTAATTTTGTTCAGGATCAAAAAGATGTCAAAATAAAGGAAAAACTCATTAAAACAGATACAAAGCGGCCACAAATATCTGGAGCAGCTGCAAAACTCCCCAATGTTCACCAAAATGAATCAATTTATTTTCGTTACAAGTTTTATATCCATTCAAAGACTGGAAATAACAGTAAACATAAAAGTTAGAGTTAGAGCTTTAACTTATTTCTGAATTTTTAAATTTTAACCCTGTGAAATAAACTTAATTGTGTA